CATTAAACACATATTAAGTGTGACAGTTTACAAAAATACATGGTCTATACTCTTTAAAAATGCCAATGTCATTAAAAACAAGGAAAGTCTGAGGAACTATTCCAAATTAAAGGAGGTTAGAGCCATCAAAATGGGATGAAAATGCATGAGCTGGGATTTTCTTTTGCTAAAAAATGACATTTGGACAACTGGTGACATCTGAATAAACCACAGATTAGATAATAATACTACATACTGTTGTTAATTCTCTGATTTTGATAAACTACACACTGTGCTTATTAAAAAACACACTTGTTTATAGGTAAAACACTATAGGAGTAAAGGGGCTTCATGTCTGCTACTTAAATATTTCAGAAAGACTATAAATGAAAACAAAGCATGTGGTATAATCAAACATTAAAGAAATCTATGCAAAGGGTATACATGAGTTCCTACTTTTCTATTAAGTCTGAAATTATGTTAAATGAAATACACATACACACACACCTATATGTGTATATATAAAATTGCAAACTCTCTATTGCAGGTAGTCCTGAATCTCTTTTACCTTATTTTTAAACTTTAATAACCTATTATCTGCTAACATGACTATTCATTTATTTTATTATGTTCACTGTTTGTCTCTCTTCCTAGAGTAAACTCCGGTGGGTAGAAATTTTCTATGTATATGTGTGAGAGTGTTTTGTGCACTGGTGGATCCAAGTCTCCAAAACCAGATTCCAATGCACAGCAATCAGGAAATATTTGCATTCATTGACTGAATGAATGACTTAGTCAGAAGAAATGTGAAAGAATACTAACAGCTATGTTTGAAAGCAAACAAAAATAAAACAAAGTTTTCTGTACAAAAATAAAACATATACATTCAAAGTTTTAAAACCTTGATTCTCCCATTGTACTATCACAAACTACTTAATAGGGAAAATGTGAAAAGTTTTATGAGGAAACAAAATTCACCATCAAATATCATCCTTATTTAAATGTCTAACAGTACTACAAAAATCTAATAAAAATCTATAGCATGAGGAATGCTTTTCAAATGATATAAAGAAAATTAGCACTATATAGAGATTAAATAACAAAAAATTTACCTAGGTACAAAATATATTTTTAGAAAATAAATAATTACTGCTTTTTTCAATAGCATTACTGAGAAATTCAATTATGAAATAATCTACAGCAAATAATAGCATTATATGGTGACATTATAACTTTGCCAGCCAGTACTTTAAATTAAATGTCAACACATGACTAGCTAATTTATCAAGTGTGGTTATCCAAATATATTTAAAACTTCTAATATTACCTCCTCATCATTAGGGTCTACTATGGTTTCATCATACACTCGCTGGTTGTCAATGGTCTTGGGTATAGGCTTTGGTGGAGCCTAAATAAAAGAAAAAAGATTAAGTTTTAGAAGGATTTTATATTAATAATGCATTATGGTTGGAGGACAACAGAAATCTGCAAAAAATCCAATAACTCAATCTGTTCTTCATTTCAATCCACTGCTACATCAATCCTAATAACAAAACTGAGTAATAGGCCTTTTAACTCTGGGCAGAGACACACACATACTGGAAGAACTGCTAACACTGAATGAAATGGCTTAAAACCAGGCAAATAGCAGACAGAATAAAGTGGGATAAAAATAGTTATCTACTAAGAAGAAAAATATCAGAGTGGAAAAAATTACAAAGGTACTTATATATATGTAGCTTTGTTCCAATATGTCCAAAAAGGTATTCAGACATACATAATAAAAGCTACAAATCTATTTCTATCTATTGAACTAGTAATTCTAGATTGGGGGACAAGATGGGAGCAATTTATATGAAGAAATACGTAGCATCACTATTGTTAATGGAAATGAACAGCAAATGGAGCAAATGTCCAGTAACAATGATTATGGCACTTCAACATACGGGATTCTGTTAAAATCAGTAATCATGCATACTCAGCTTAGACCAGAAAACTGTGCAAATGAAATGTTAAGGAACAGAAATACAGAATTATAAGCATACACTGACTAAAACTAACTCCAAATATATGTGCACTAGCAGAGATAAGAGAAATATGAACTGATGAACTTTTTAGGACTTTTTATTCTGAAACAGATTGTTAAGTTTTAAGTAATTTTTAAAAGGGAGCAGTTCTAGAAAGTCATTTTTCAGTCCAAAAAACAAGAATTGTGATATTTTCAAATGGTGATCAGCATATTAATCTGCTGTAATTAAATGACTGAGAGTTAAAAATAGACCAACATTGCTTGATAGGGTTCCACAGGGCAAGACAATCTAGCATTGGCAATTTCATATGATTTAACCTAGTATTTTAAAGAGAATGCATGAAAAAGCAAGTGTTCAGTTTTTAAACAGCCTATGCTTTTTCCTTCCTCAAAAACACTTATCATTACTTGGTACTTCATTTTAGAGATGGTAAAAGAGAAAATTTGTATGTTTTTAAAATTTTGCAAGTATAAAACATAACCTAGAACTAGCTATAAACAAAATGAAACTAAATGAAAATAGCTCAGCTGTGCAATAACATGGATTTAGTTTTTTAAAAGATTTACAACAGGAAGATTTCATTTCTTACAAATACCACAAAAATAGCCAAATCCTTTCTTGGTGTATTGTATTTGCTCTTTTCTTTGCCATAATCCATTCAGGTATTTCATTTTCCTCCTACCCCCAACTCCTCTGTGTCAGCTCTCATTCTACACACCCCAACCTACAATAGACAAGGCTCTGTCCTGACTTTCCTCAGCCTTGCATGACAAAAAGCCTTTGCTTTGAGTCACAAAAACTCCAGCTACAAGCCAAAAATGGGGAGCTTCCTAATTTCCAAATTCTAGATGTGTCTCTGCTTCCCAAAGCACACAAGGTTAAGTAAAATAAGCAAGTTGAAATACACACACCATTTATATGAAATTTTGAAAATACGAGAAATACCATCACTGTGTTTATTATTTAGGGACACAAACACAAAGGTAATGAAGGATGTGCAGGAGCAATAAAACAGCCACTTCATGAGTGCTTATCTTTGAAGGAGAAAGCAATCAAGAAGTATACAAGAGACTTTGAGCATTATTTGCTAATGCATTCTTTCTTACGCTGGGTAAGGGATAGAAAGGGGTTTGTTATTTTACTATTATGTCTTTTTATACATCTGAAATATTTTATAATACATTTTAAAAGAAAGTGATTCAAAGTAAATATCAAGGAGCATTCTTTAATATGATAGAAAAGCAGATGGCTTAAAATTTTATTTACCTGGTCACCAAGAGCCTCTCTCTCCTTTTTAATTTTTTTCTTAGCTGCTAACTTTTCCTAAAGGGTTTAAAAAAGAGAGAACAATACAGTTATATCACAACCAAACTACAAATCACTAATGCTATGAATATTTAAACTGAGCAACCTTTGTAATGTATTAAAGTAACCATCCTGACATAGATTTTCATACCTAAGTACAGTGAACCAAATGAGCTGGCCAATCATTATTTCTTTAGCAAAGATCTCCCTCCTTCAAAAAAATCTAAATCGGCAAATTTGAGTACTTAAAATTTCACTAGCTTCACATTTTACTATAAAGCTTCAAGTTAAGTCCAAGTGCAAAACACATACTTAAGCACGTTAACAAGATGTTTTGTTTTGCAGTCCTAACAAGTTACATCCTGAAGAAAACCATTGCTCTGCTGATTACCTCTTGGAAAGTACTAAAAATAAATGGGAATGGGAGATAAGAGTTTTCAGGTTGTTTCCAATAAAACCATCATTAGTCTTCCATACATCATGTAATCAAGATATGCTTTAAAAATTTTTAAGAACTTGCAAGGTGAGTTAGGATGGTTTGTACTGTTAAGTCTGTATCTTCTGGAGATTTCGAAACGCAATGCTTGACACAGTAGAAAATCCACTTTTTTCCAAGAGCGTACTGACCCTCAATCTATCAAGTATCTGATTAGAAATTAGAGTTCTAAGAAGCCTCCTAGGACACCTTTCCCTTATACTCGCACCCTAGAATGAGTTAGATGCTCCGTCTATGCACTCCAACAGCACTTTCATACGTAACGATGAGTAAGACACATTCCAGGGTCTCAAAAAGCCTAGTAAGACGAAGCAGACAAGTAAAAAGAGTGTGTAAACTTCTTTGATGTACAAGAACAGGCAAATGTTTGCCTACGATTGCAATTTAGCCACAAATGAGCACTGTGACATTGGGTTTTATTTATTTCCTCGTATTTATGTACCCCCTGTAAGAGTATGAGAATAACGCCGTTAAGAATAAACACAATTACTAGAAATTTTAGTAATTTCGGTAAGAGTTGCTGCAGTAATCAGAGAAGAATCACTGTGGATTTACGTATTGTCTGCATTAGAGTCTAGGAATTAACCAACATTAGGTGACGAGGCGAAGGGGGCAGGGATTTTTGTCCTCTAGGTCAGGAAGGGGTCATTTTCACTACTAGAAGAGCAGCACTTCTTGCTTTCATGCGCAGCCGAGGGCCCTAGAAAGAAATTCCTGCTCCTCGGGAAAAGCTGAACCCAGAGAGAGCCCCGAAAGCAGGGCGAGGAGTAGAAGCCACAGGAGCCGCAGCCTCACCCTTCCGGATTAATCACCGCAGCCCGGGACCCACTCAAGGGCGACCACGCATGTGTAAACCCCCCCCCCCCCAGCTGTAACGCGCACGCGCAAAAGACGCCAGGCATGAACCCAGCGCAGTCATACCTTACGCTGCTGCTGTTTCCACCGCGTGAACATTAAGTGTCGCCGTTGTTTGTTTTTAATCTCCGAAATGCTGAAGCCTGGAGGAAAGGCAGCAGCTTTCGGGGGCTGGGCCCCGCTTTCCGTCGCCCCATCCTCAGCGGGTGCAGCCTTCTGAGGTTCTTCGGTAGCAGCTTTCCGTTTCAGGTCCTTTTTTCGTCTTCCGCAGCTCTCACCCGTGGGCTTCACCATGGTGTTTGCTCCTTGGCGTCTGTACGGAAACGGAAATACTTCTTCCTCTGACCCCTTTCCGTAAACTTTTACTTCCGGGGTCCGAAAAGCCTTAAAGAAATATGTAGAATACCTTGTGAGCGTTGGCCTTTCAAGGTGCTAAAGCTTAGGTTTGAGGAGAGCTTTATAGGGCTTGCCAGCTATGTGAACTGTAAAATGATGAGTATATAGAATCCTTTATTTAGCGTTTACATGTGCTGAGCCATTAAAATATTGAAACAAAACAGTCTTTGCTGTATAGCGTTTACATTCTACTGGAGAGAGAGCTAAAATGAGCTCACAAATAAATAGTGTGGTGAGCTATAAAGAAATCCACCATATGGGAAAATTAGAACAGGATAAAAAGAGGATGAGAGGGTAGAGGGGCAGGTTGCAGCTTTTAAACAGGATTCTCCGAGTAGGCTTCATTAAAAAAGTTACATTGCACAAAGATTTAAAGAAGGTGAAGGGGTAAACTATGCATTTTTCTGGGGGAAGAGCTACTAATCTGAGAAAAACTGATTGTCTAGGAGAAAAGCTGGTCAAGCAAAGGCAACATACAGCCCCAAGGCTCTTAGTATCAAGCCTGGCATGTTTGGTAAACAGTAATAGAGGCCAAGAGTCATATGCAAAAGGAGAAGAATGGGTTAGGAGTGACATTGTGTAGGAGTTTGTAAATATTTGGTTTTTAGTTTTTGTGAGATGCAGATTTGAATGATTTTGAAAGAAATGACAAGATCAGACAGCTTGAAAGCATCATTTAGACTGGAGAAAACTTTAGAGGAAGAAAAGTGAAAGGAGGGAGAAATGATAGTGGCTTGAAGCAGAGTGGTTCTAATGGAGGTGGTGAGAAGTGATCAGATTCTTTTGCAAAGTAGAGTCCTGATGACTGAATGAAGTGCATGAGAGAGTCAAGGATGACCTCAAGACTTTCTGAACTGAGCAACTGGAAGGATGGAGTTACCATCAGTTGAGATGGGAGAAACTTCAGGTGGAGCAAATTTGAAGGGTAAGATCAAGATTTCAGTTCTGGAAATACTAAGTTTGAGACACTTACTGGTCAACTAATTGTTGTCAAGTAGTCAGTTGGGATGTGTGATTGTACAGTAGGAGAGAAAGATATGGGCTGGAGATCAAATAATTGGGAGTCATTAGCATATATATAGCATTTCAATCAATTGAAGTGAGTATAAATAGAGAACTGAAAAAGAGAAGCTGACATAGGACTGAACCCTGGAGCAGTCCTACATGAAGAGTTAAGAAAAGGAGGACACAGTAAAAAAGATTAAGAAGAGAAAATCAAGAGAGTGTTAGGGAAGTTAAGTGAAGAAAGTGTTACCCCAATGGTTAAATTTCATGAAAATGCCTTCCAGAGACAGAATTCTTACTGGTTTACTGTTAAGAGTCAGTTTTCTAGGAACTGCCTTAATTTCCAATTATATGTTTCAATATTGACATTGAGTGTTTAAATAATTCAGTATTTGGTGTCCATACTGTACTTTTTACCCTTTCAAGTTCTTTTAAACAGGCCATTAAAAATGTCAAAACTGCATCTTTCAGAGTACAAGTCCCATCAAAACCTGCCGTAAAGCTACAAGTCCAAAATTGTGATGCGAAAATTAAAATCATCATATTTAGACTAAAGCTGGATTTGAATTATGCAGTATTATAGAAAGGAAAAAATAGTGTTGAGTTTAAAAATCATTGACATATGGGTTTGGCTGCAACAAGTCAGACAATTTTATGTTGTTTATTTAAAAAGAAGTAAAAAGGAGGAGGGGAAGAAGAGGGAAGCAAATCAACCTTTATTGAAAAAAATAGACTAATATTCTGGAAGTCTCTTCTAGCCTTAATATTTTATCTGAAAATACAATACAGCCTTTCCTCATAAGAACACAAAATAATCCTGAAATAGGCTATAAGCTTCTTAACATAGTGAACTTTTTTCTTCATAGCTTATTTTTAATAACAGTTGTGTAAATTAAATGAAAGGATTTCTATGATCAGAATGAAACTGTTATGCTGAAGAACTCTCAAAAGCATTGATCACTTCAGCAAATACATATTTAAGCTACTCAGTAAATGAATAGCATAAGTGACTATGGTCAAAACAGTGGTATGTTCAGATCTTAACTCAGTCACATATAAAATCTCAAGTAATACAATCTCTGTGAGCCTCAATTTCATAAGTAAACTGAGGCTGATCATGCTGCCACATAGGTTGTTGACATAATTACAGATATACCTACAATAAAAGTTAACTAGCTATTTTTATATTTCTATATGTCAGACTATACTACAAGTTGTAGAGAAAAGTCATGTTTGCCTTCAAGTAGCTTGCAGTTTAAATTAGACCACTTATCTCAAGAAATTTTGAGAGTTCTCTTATTTATTCTATACCTTAAATTATCTTAGTGACTAATGAGGTTTGTTACTCTGACTTTACTGACCCAGAAAGTCAGCAAAAAGTTATTAAAGGGATTGGCAGTGTCAAAAGGACTTTCACAACATCAGCTCTCCTTTGAAAGAAGTTAAAATTAACAAGAATAGAATTAATACAATTTTGTGAGGAAATATCAGAGTCACCCCCTGCCCCACACCTGAAACTGAATTAATTTGTGACTCAAATATGAAAAGTTTTCAGGTATTGAAAACCTGGAGAGTAATTGTATTGTGAACACCATCACCTATATACTCCATACTATGAAATAGACAATGCATGGCTGGCCTTTTCAGAAATCAGAAATGTATTAGGAAACTAGAAATTGTCTTCCAGAAATGTCTTCAGATTGTGTGTTTGGAATAATTTCTTATAATTTCCTTGTGGCATTTGACTTAGGGAAGACTCTAAACTTGGTTGTGATGGTACAAGATTCAAGGACAGTCCTCCCTAGATTTTCCAAGTAGCTTGATCCTTAGCAATAACCTGGATGAACAGGATTTTTTTTCTGCCTGTTAATATTTCCAGAGTATATATAGCTCCACATGTCCTCTGGTGATACACATTTCTGATCCTAATTGATCGCAGTTTCACTGAAATATCATCTCCTTAAATGATTTCTGGTTGTTTGAGTTCTTCTAAGGAGTTTTTATTTATACCTTTGGAATGAATATGGTACCTCTGGCTGGTGTTTCTGACTATGAAGCAACCATAAGTATAATTTAAATATCAGTCTGGAATGCCTTTTCTGGGTCTAAGTATTACTCTGTTGATTCATTCAGTCAACAAATATTTATTAAGTCATACTTTGTGCTAGATCCTCTGGCTATAGCTTTCAAAAAGAAACCCTCCCTGTCCTCAGAACTGCAGTGCGGAGACCAAGTATAGAAGCAAATCCAGGAAGTGTGGGAGTGCTTTCTGTGACTGCTGCCTTGTATACTCATGACCAGTTTAGAATTACAACTCATGTTTTCTTCAAAGAGCCAGATTAGGTATATTCTTAAATCCCTTGTAGATAGCTGAGAATATATTTTCTAGAGAAATTAACCCATGTGTAGTGATTAAATCATTCAGACCAGACACAATATATACAAATATTTGTTTGTTTTCAGCTAATACTGTTATTCAGCTAATACTGAATATTTTTCTCAATTTTCTATAATCATAGAAGGAATTACTATGTGAAATAAAATGTCCTCTACTATATCATTTCACAAACATAAAATGTAGCGAACATTCTGTCCAATTATCAGACATACTATTTAAAATGAAAGATAATGAAGCACAGTTCTTAGCTTAGACTGGCAGTTCCCAAACTTTGTCTCAGAACCCATGTACATTCTTAAAAATTATTGAGGACTTCAAATAGTTTGGTTTATGTGGATTTTATCTATTAACATATGCCATGTAGAAATTAAAACTGACAACAAATTAGATATGTATATATTTTAAAATAATAAACCCATTATATGATAACATGCACACTTTACAACAATGACTGTATTTTCCAGAACAAAAAAAATTAGAAGAGTGGCATTATATAACATGGGTTGCAAATCTCTTTTATGTTTGGCTTACTAGGAGACAGCTTTGTTTATATTACTTCTGCATTTACTCTATTGTAACATACTATTTTGGTTGAAGTATGTAAAGAAAATCTGGCCTCAAACAGGTATGCAGTTAGAAAAGGGAGGAATATTTAAGAGCTTTTTCAAATAACTGGATATTCTTCTTTGATATTACACCAAATTTGAGAGGTAAGTTTCTTAAAGTTCAGTTGCAGTTAATCTGAAATTATATCAACTAGCTCTTCATACTCTGTTACATTAAAATCTGTTGTTCTCTCTTGCAGTTTGAATGTCTTTCACCCATGCATGATTTTGTAACATCATGTATTCACTGAGTTATGTGTATTTTCCAAAAGTTGACACATTTCTTGAAACAATATCACAAAACCAAATTTGTTAAAATTGCTGCTAATCTCATCAGAAGAGTCCTTCATTTATGGCAAGCTGTGAAACTTACAGTGGTGAGTAGAAGTTTTCTGAATTTCTGATTTTCACTTGAATAGGGTCTTCCTTGCCTCCAGGTTACCTGTGGCAGTGCCCATAAGGCAGTGCAGGAGGTAGAAGCAAGGATTAAGGGGAGTTCTGGGTGGTGAGGACCTCTTGTTGATGAACTTTCCAGGGCTGTTTTTCAGATTAGGCCATATCTGTTATTTTCTTTCACACTTGGATCCCTGAATACTGGCTTACTTTTCCATTATAACCATTAGTCAGCAAGAGCAACCGTATCACAAACCCTGAGTATATTCTGAGAGTCTACTTTCAGAGGCAATCTGAGGGGGTTCTTTCTGGGGGGTGCTTCCGCCCTGCTCATTTGTGCAGGATGCAAGTTACCATCATACCATATGATGGATCCTAAGGCAGCGTCTTGGGAGAACTGAAATTTATGTTATTTGTTGCTTCTGGTTAAGATTTTTTCTTCTTCTCTGGCCCACTATGGAAAGGAATGCATTCTTAAAGCCTCTCCTCTTCTTGAGGCAGTCAACAAACCTTTTCAATTTTTCTGAAGTTTCCTCCTTTTTTCCTATAGCAACCAGATGAAATAGAGATAAAAATTATTTATTTCTAATAGGGATGATAAGGTCCTATATAATGTTGGTCTTTGGCTCCAAAAAATTAAAAGAAAGCTAAGCTTCACTTAGGGGGAATAACAAAAGTCAGTCGCTCCCCTGGAATTTCCATCACGAGAGCCAGGAAGGCCGCTGGGAGACAGAGAGTTAATGAGATAGAACAGTCTGAGGAACTGAACGTGTGTTTGTGAGATCAGCAGTAGTGATATGGACAGAAACTACAGAATTGGATTACATTCTTATCCTCTGTATTTTTCCCTATGTCACTCTTACAAGATTGATGCTATGGTACAAAATGGTATTAGGGATAAAGAACCCCTTAGTAAGTGATTGAGTTCCAAAAGTTTCCACCATATTCCGGCATACTACAGGAAGATTTTTAATTTAGTTTCCCTATAATTAGACCTCCTTTATTCTAAAGCCTAGAGTACAGGATACATATTTTGTACTACAAAATTTTCCTTAGTCAAAGGCACTATTTCTATGACGGAGACATGCTATAAAGTTCTAGTATTCTCCAGGAATCGTGGATGCTGGAATATCTTATATTTGCTAAAATCTTCCAAAAGCCTATATATCTATGTGAAGTATGATCTGTGGACCAGCAGCAATGACATCTTGATGGATACTTGAATGGAAGCTTGATAGAAATGCAGAATCTACTGAAAGAGCCTCAGGTGATTCATAAAACACATTAAAGTTTAAGAAACACTGCTGAAGATGTGTGTTACATCCCTCACCCCTATTAATTTTATTGATCCATTGGAGGTCTTGTTTCAGGCCAAAAATTTATGGCTGGTTTATAATGATATTTTATTTTGCTAAAAACAGTATTTTATTATTTTTAAATGATTGCATTGCTTGAAGGGAGGACAAACTGTTGGGAACTATTGTGGAGTTCTCATTTATTTTCTAACATTTATATAATACTAACATTTATATAATATTTGTATAATATTTAAGTAATACTATATAATTTATGTAACACTAACATTTATTTTCTAACTTAGTCCTTGTACAGACTTGGAATAAGATTAAGCAGATACTTATCTGACAGGTAAGCAGCATATGAATCCAGACACCTATGATTATATCTTGTGAGAAAAAAATGGCTAGCCTTTCCCTTCAGGCAACTAACAAAATTGATTCTCATAGTACTAGGCATTCACATAACCTGGCAACTTGTGAGAAGTGAAGATGTCTGGGACTCAGAAATCAATGTTTTAACAAGCTCTGCAGATGATCCTGATGCACACCCACATTGGAGACCCACTGATCTTGAATCATTATTACCTTCTGATACATAAAAGTAGACCATTTAAAGATTTGTTTCTCTGGAGTTTATGGTAAGCTTCCCTAACTGGGAGCTAAATAAGCTTCCTCCTGTATCTTCATATAGGAAATCTAGATGCCCATACTAGGTGGTACTGAAAAAATTATTATAATGGTCTCATGCATATATAATAGCAATGATGGGAGAGGTTGTATTGATAAAATTAAACAGAGATTATTGTTTGGTTACAACATCATGTTTACTTTTTGCAAATGTTAGTCAACAGTCTGGTCCTTTGGTATGTCCAGGTCACTCTTGGACATTCAGTTCATTTTTATTGCTGCTTATGTTAATATTTTAACACTGATTTGCTTCATTTCCCAGAAATGGTTGATTTTTGAATCTCAGCTATACAACATAAGGTCTCCTCCTGCCAAATGCAATGTGATATATGAATTGAATCCTGGAACTGAAAAAAGACATTTGTGGAAAAAGAATGAAATTTGAATAAAGTCCAAAGTTCAGTTAATAGTAATGTAGCAAAATTGGTTTTTAGTTTGAAAAATGTAATGGCAATCTTGAAAAATGTATGGTAATGTAAAATGTTAACATTAGGGAAACAGTGTGAGGGTACATAGGAACTCTATTATTTTTGCAACATGTCTCTAAATCTAAAATTATTCCAAAATAAAAAATTTCTTAAAAAAAAAATTCTCCCTGACTCTTTACTTAACAAATCATTGAAGTATTACCAGGTAAAAGAATTTAAAGAACTGCTCTACACCAACCCAGGCTGTACATATGTAAGTAGACCAACTTTATTAAGCTCATTTTGTTGGGATGCCAGCAAAGCTACCAACAATCACAAAACACATTTGCTAAATGTATAGGACAGGCAGTTAAAGCAGGAAAGATGTTTGCTTTTGCACTCCATTCCTTGAACTCTTATGTACAGAGTTTCCACTTAAGTACTTTACACTTGGTGATACGTTGTTTTAATAATAATCCTCAAATCATTTCATGGATGACTGTTCCTATCCACCCCCGCCCTCCTCCAGAGCACTTAATGCAGTTCACTGCAGGAAGTAGGCATTCAGAGCTCAGTTTTCTCTGACTAACTGACTGACTCAGTGTGCTACCTGTAATTATATTTTAAAATTTAATCAGGGCAGTTCCAGGAACTCAAAGGAATAAAGTAAAAATCAACTATTCAAGTGAGGTTTGTGAAATTGTCTAGAGTGAATAGACTTCATCAAAATGTGTCAAAATGCAGAATTTGTGAGTGGAAACCAGAGTATCAAAAATTTAAATCATCCATATGAAATACACTCAAGACTGAAGTTAATAGTTCTGAAATCAATTTTGGACTGAACAGAAAGTTACCATTCTTACTTCTTTCATGCTTTTTGTTGTATTTTGTTTTTTCAGGTAATCAAGGATCACAAATATTAACTTGCTCTGGCTGTTGATACATGTTGAGAAATTCAGAAGAAGGCCTGTAATAGGAGGAACCGTTTATCTCTCTGATTTTTTCAGTAGTGTGAAATGGAATGAAAGCCAAGGCTACTTGAACAGAGCCAAGACTTACGATATATCTAACATTAGAGACTGTCATAGTGTTTCTCATATATCATCTCAGTCCTTCTAAAATTCCTATAAATAGATGCAAGGCAGGAATTATCATTTTTCCAGCAGGAAAATGGAAATTCAGAATGATTAAGACAGTATCCAGATTAAACTATGAATTACGATTCTTTGTCCATTGTCTTTCAACCATGTGTCATACCCTTAGATTAATATTACTTAGAGTAAATTATTAAGTGAACACAACCCTATACATCTGCATATAACCCATTTTCTTTTCTTGACTCTTGAATGTATATTCAGGAACAAAGCACTTGATGAAGTACAATGTGAATCCCTGAAAAGACACAGATGCATGAAGTTTAAAGCAGTGAATGTAACAGCAATATTTGTTTTTCATTTAACTATTTCAGTCCATGTTTTCTATTGTGGAGATGGTAGAGTTTGACACAATTGTGGTATAATGAGTTTAAGCCAAAAATTTATATATTTGATGTATCATTTCCCATATCTATAATTGAACTAAGAAGACTTACTCAGGGGTTCCCAATTATAGAAAGAGGAAAAGAATTATCTCTATGATTTCCTGAGGTGAAGTAATAAATTGGAAATTATTTGGTTGACACATTATAAAATTGTTGGTCAAAGCCAGGTGAATTATTGATTTTTCTTCCAGATTTCTTCTTCAGAAATAAAATAGTCTTCAAATACTGGAGTAAGATTTTACATTCAAATGATTTGAGGGGAGGTTTAATATTTGAGCTGCTAAAAGGAAGTTTGCCATTTGAACTGCTAAGAGACTGTGCCTTCTAGCCTTATACAAAATGAAGAATGCTTCTGTTGTGCTTTACATAGCTGATGGAGAGATACTATCTATTTCATGTTTCATCTCATATTAACAAACATTTCTGCATTTTTTGTGAGACTAACATAGTCAGGGTTTGATGTTCTAGATAAGGAAATGAAGTGTTATCTTTTCCAGAGAAATATTGCATTGGCATATCACACATTGTATTGATTCATAGGCATTTCCATTAAAAATGGGAGTCTCCCTAACTTCGGATTGTGTTTAATGAATATAGCACATTTAGCCCATATAAACTGTTAAGCAAGGTGATTCTAGTACTCATTATTCATTCATTCTATAAATATTTCTGAGCTTTCACAACCAAGCATGGGCCTTCTGAGGACGTCAAAGAAACAAAATGCAGCAGAAGGCCCCTCTACCAGAAGTTTAAAATTTAATGAAGAACTAAAACACACAAACATAAAATCTTGTATCTCAATCTAGGCACTAAACAGCACTGGAGAATAACAGCACTGTAGGAGTTAGAAGTGACAGTTAGTGCTATGATAGTAAATAAAGAGAGAGCCCTGTGTTTTAGAGGAATGTATGATAATGGTGAGGAGCATGGGTTTTATACTTTTTTTTGTAATACAATATTATTTCATATATTAATTACACTGTGTTTAGATCTCTATGGCTTATTTACTACCCATTACAAGTTTATAACCTTTAATACCATTGTTCTTATCCCTCCTCAATCCCCTGGTACCACCATTTTTCTGTATTTTACAGGTGTAACTTTTTTAGATTCCACATATAAGTAATATTGTACAGTACTTATCTTCCTGTTTGACTTACCTTGCTTAACATAATGTGCTCAAAGTCATCCATGTTGTCACAAATGGGAGGATATCCTTTCTCATGGCTGAATGATATTCTATTATGTATATGTACCGCATTTTTTTTTTTTTACCCACTCATCCATTGATGAGCATTTAGGTTTCTGTATCTTGGCTACTGAGTAACACAGGTTTTAGAGTCAACTAGATATGTCAATTAGAAGTTAAATCCCTTAACTTCTCTAAGCCTCTGTTTCCTTTTCATTGAAAGTAAGTAGATAACAAAATACTTAGACCATGGAGTTGTGATGATTAGATGAGACTGATAATGCATGAAACAACTTTAGCACAATCTATCTGGCACTAAGTATGCTCTCACTAAGTACTTCCTTTCACTAGCAATTTATTATTATAGTTAGATATTTCCCAGAGAAGACAAGAATTAAGGTGGACTTGCTCAGTGTTTGAGTTGAGTGCAAGACCTACCTCACCTGTCACTGATAACTGAGGAAAAGAGAGGATCAGTGATGCCCCAGTTGGAGATCTACTAAATGACTGGATAAATTGCATGGAAATTCATTCATTCATTCATTCACCATATATTTATTGTGTGCTTTCTTATTGATGGCCACTGTGCTAGTTGCCAGGATAGTAAAGGTAAGTAAAAGCACTCAGGTCCTTCTTTCACTTGAACAAAACTTTACATAAATACATATAATTATTATAATGAGTGTTATGAAGATGTATACTGTGCTCTAAGAGTGTAGCAGGGAAGAGCTGCTAGCTCAGGGAGGGCTTTCCTGAGGAAGTGATGTATGAGCTGAATTCTAAAGGAGTGGAAGGGAAAAGTGGGGAACGTTGGGCAGGGGAACAGCATTTGTGAAGATGGAACTTGGTGTGCCTGACACCTAGAGACTAGTGTGGATGGAGTGTAGAGATGGGAGAGGCCTATCAGGTGAGACTAGAGGCAGGGCTTTAGGGGCAGTGGTAAGGATTTAAATCATTATGCTATGTATATTAATGGTAAGCCATTAAAGAGTTTAAGCAGGGGCATGATGCGATCAGGTCTGTGTTTTGCATGAGTGCTGTGCTGCAGTGTGAGGAGGGCCAAGAGTGCTGGAAGGGTAGAGGGGCCTCTGTGATTGTGTTACCAGGTGACTGAAGGAACTGGTGTCAGTGGGAGTATAAACATGAAAAAGATTACTGTTGTTGTTAACCAGTCTTCAAATGTGCTGATACAATTTCCTTTCCAATTCCTTCATGTCTACAGCAGGTTATCATAGCTGAGAAGGCATAGTAGAAGGAAAACAAGGAGTGTGTGGTGGACTAGAATCCAAAAGAAGAGAGACTGTTTCATAAATGAGTCATCTACATGTCAATGCTGCTGAGAGATCAGGTAAGCGGAGGAAGAAAATGTCCATTGGATTTAACAGCCTAAAGACCATTGATGACCCTAGTGACAGTAATTCCAGGGGAGTGGAGATGAAAGTTAGATCAAAGTGGTTTTAAAAAGGAATGTGTGGTCAAAAAGGGAGAAAGAATAGGCAAATATTTTCTCAGTTTGTGAAGGGGTGAGCAGAGATAGGGTACTGTGAGTGGAGGAAGTGGGTTGAGGGAGGATATTTTAGAGGTGAAGATTGAGTATGTTTGAAAGCTATTGGGAAGGGTCCAGTACACAGGGGCATTAATCATTGAATGAAGAGAGAAGGCAGCTGGGGTGAGATCCAGAGCACAGGCAGAGAAACCAGACTTAGAGAGGAAAAAGGGAATAAGAAAGGGTTGGTACAATTTTATGTACATGCATAGGTTTCAATTTTGGGGAAATTGAGGGGATTTCTGATCCTTTGTGTAGTACAGGTGAGGTCACGGGATATTTTAGCTAAATTGAAAACAAAGAATATTCATTATTACTGCTTTACCGTCATCTCTAGAAGCCTTGAGACTCCAAATTCCATTTGATTCAAGACATTTTCTAAGAAAACATTTCCCTCTCACCCTCTGACAGCATCTTTGCATATTGTTCCAAACATGCTAAAATAGCACAGTTGTATTTCTATAGCCAGTAATCCTATTTTACTCATTAATGCACATCCTAACAAAAGCTAAACCCTAAGAGATGAGGGAGGAGGAAAATTTATTTCAATATATTCATAAAAATTCAAACAAATAATTTCAGTAGTCTTAAGTCTTGATCATCGCTAAGATCACTTGGTTTCGACCCTGAACGTTAGGGCCACTGCTTATTTTCACAACTGCCAAAAAACACGATGTTCTTAGTCAATTTGTAATAGACAGAAGCCAGGGAAATAAGTTTGGATTTTTAAACATCTTTCCGTATAACAGAGTGACCATTTAGAAACTCCTAAACAAACTGACAACATAACTCATTATATAATATTTAGTTAGTGACCAGCATGCTTAGAATACCAGGAAAACCAGATTTATGTGACACTAACTTCAGCTGGA